TACTCCGACTGGTATGTATATGGCATATACGATATATATATATATATATATCTTTACATCATGCATGTGAGGATACACGATACGGGCAACCACGACAAATATACTTACTTGCCACAAATACACTTACTCCGGAGTAAAAATTTTACTCCAAAACGGAGTAATAGTTACTCCGGAGTAATATCTTACTCCAAAAAATACTTACTCCGGAGTAATATTTTACTCCGGAGCAATACATTTATATCGATATATGTATATCGATAAATGTATATATGCACATACACACACACATACCCATACATACACATACACATACACACACACACACACACACGCACGCAAACATACACACACATACACACACCAGTGAAGACTTGCGCTTCTGCTGCTGCTGATGATGTGCCATGGCTTTTCGGTCTCGTTCTTCGCTCGCTGTCGACAGACTTGGACTTGGACGCAGATTTGTCTCCGCAAGAGGGACTGGTTTCTCGCCGGTTTCTGTTGCCACTTTATACACTTTTCCGAACGACACCCACAGAGCTTCCACCAATCACCGTGAAGCACGTCACCTACGTCACATGCAAACCAACCGACTACTCCAGATCCTCAGAACAAGTCACCAACGCTTGCCATGCGGCCAATCAGCTACTACAGACGTTGACTTTAACCACGCCCCCACTTCATGATGCAATCCCGACGGTCCCGCTGTCATGTTGAATAGCTTACTGTCAAAGTAACAATGTCGGTAGGCGTGGTATCATCCTTCAAAAATCGTTGCCTTGACAACAGGTTTCCCAGGTTACCGGGGTCAAAAGTGCACACTGACCTTTATCTGACCCGCAATTTAGCTCATTAGCTAAAATTTGCATACATTCGTCTACATTTGCATACATATGCATATCCTTAGCATAATGACGGTGACCTCTGACCCGCACCGCCTCGCACCGCCTGCACCGCCTGAATAATATGAATCAGCGTGTCGACTATATACTACTAATGGGCCTGACAGTCCCTTTACAATATGTCTATATGATGATGTTGCTTCCAGGTAAGGAAGCATTGTTTTGGTTGGCTCAGCTGTGGGGTTGTGTATCTGTTTGCCCGGAAAGGGTAGATTGACAGCACATGGGTAGGAGAAATTTACAGGCGAAATTGCAGGAGGCCAAAGGTTTTTAGAAATTGGCAATGAGCCTGTAGGAATTAGTGGGGCATAGGGGAATTCAGAACATCGAGGGTTGCATGCTTCCATGGTGTCTAAAATCTTCGATTTCTTATGCCATGATAATCTGCTGTAGAGTTGGAGCAAGTGGTTGGAGGATTCTGCCAGGATGTGCAGTGTGGGGAGGGGGGCTTCTGTTCACGGAATGAGCCGTACCCCGGAGCTGTCATAGCGGAGTGCCAATGTCAGGAAAACTACTGCAACACGGGGACCTGTGAGTACAACGTTCAAGAGGGACCGAAATGCACGTAAGTATCAAAACCAGCCTCTCTCGGATAGAATATAATAGTCGAGTTGACATTTACGTCTAACACAACAGATACCTGAAAATTTGTGAATTTTGAAGTGATACCAGAAAGTCATAGGTTGGTCAAAAGTCGTAATGGTTTTTTTTTTTGTGTTTTGCTGTAGAGAACAGAAAGTTCAAGGCTAATTATTTTTAGGCCGAAGTGGTAAAAATGCTGTAAGTGCTGGATTTGTGTTGTGTTGTGCTTTGATGTGATGAATGGATAGTGTACACAACGTTTAATGATTAATTACAATGTACAGCTGCCCGGCAGTAGAGGGTTCCTGGTACGGAGGGGAGCGATGTCAGATCCGTTTGACCCAAGCGGACGTGATCGGTATTGCAGCAGGTTGTTTGTGTGCGTTGCTGGTGGTCGCCCTGCTGGTGGCTGTCTGTATGGCCAAGAGGTCCAGACATTCGGCAAAAATGAAGTAACGTTAACTTGGCTTCTCCGATCTGTTTTCCCGCCACGACGTACATTTCTTTAAAGCCTTTGCATATAGACTTTCTATGGGGATTGGGATTTTTTAGATCTTTCCCTGCATATTGTATATGCCAGAAAAGCATGAATTACATAATCAAGATCAAACAAGCTGATTCCGACCTGCTCTTCTACCATTATGTAGGCATTCTTGTATCAGTCCGTATTTAGTGTTTATAGCTACGTGGCTAATTCTCTAACCTCCGTTACTTTTGTTGTTGTTATTGACTGTTCATTTATTAACATGGGTTTAGGTACTGGGCTTACATAAAGCGTGAACATTTATTGTAGGTACAGGGTTAGCTCACCTCCCGTCACCCTACCCAACTACTACACCGCCTCAGAGTCGTGGCAACCGTTTCATGGCCTCCCGGTCACTGACCTGAGTGAAGACCAGGACGACTACCTTTCACCTGTGGTAAATGAACATTTTCATAAATCAAAGAGCTTAGTGAGTTAACGTTAAAAGCAGCCTCAAAGCAGCCTCCCCTCTCTCTTGATACAGAGAACTGTGAAAAGTATGTACGTATGGACATAAACTTACAATGTTTACAACTTTATACACACAAAACCTGATTTTTATTTTACTTGACGAAAATCAAACTTGTGTTTTTCCTTGATGTTTCTGAATTTGTGACGGTCTTATCTTCTGGTGATGTTGTCAAAGAGGATGATGATGGGAGCAGCCATGAGACTACATTGATAAACCAAACTATAAAATATAGCGGCTTCGCACTCTTGGTGTATCTTTTCGTCCCTCTGGCCTGGGAGTACTGGAGCGAGTTCCTCAGCTGCCGACAGTGCAGATCTCCCCGCGTAGGAGGAAGCCAACAGCAGAAGCGAGGCGACTGTCTAACCTTTTTTTTTTGCAAAGTTCAGGCAAAGATTGTGTCTGCGGTCAGAAGGAAATTCAAGTTCCAAAGTTCTCAAGGCTTCTGGGTATGAAGTGTATTGCTGTCTGTTACCAAGGCAGCCGTCCAAAATGTAACAACTATGATACTTGTTTATTTTATAATACACATGTATATTGTTTTTATTGTTTTCCGTGTTGACATCCTCGATGCCCCCTATCAAGGTGTAAGGTTATTTTAAGAAGTACTTTTGATGTTTTCCTTAGTATGTAGAATCTGATGCTGTTATGTTTCCTCCCATTGACAAGGAATCCCTGGGAACCGGAGGAGGTCCTTTCTTTAACCCAAGTGTGAAGAATATACCAATTGGAGAGGTAGGTTTTCTCATGCCTTAGTTCAGGTGGGCTAACTCAGGGACCTAGACTAAGAGAGCATCGATTAAAAAATACATTTGTTTCCTATCCCTCTCATTTTCTTTAAATTATTCTTTTTCGTTCTCTCTTTGGTAGTACTTTTGTATGTTTTTATTTGCTTCGTTATCATTCTTTGACTATTCTACATTTTGAAAGTCTCTTCTCCCACTTCAGTTGAAGATCCCTCGCCCATCGGTGATGAAACCAGTTTCTCCTAAACACGATGAAGATGAAGGCTGTTTCCAGGTAGGTTATGTCATTTTACACTACAAAGTCACTACATACACACTACAAGTGGCACTATTCTTGTATTTGAAACTAACTTTGTTGACACGTTTTCTTACATTTACTCTGTTTCATCACTGTTGTTAATAATGGTTACTTTTTTTTTTCTTTCAAGACCTTTGAGTTCAAGTTCTGAACATGAGGAACCGGCAGCGAGAGGCCAGTTACAAATGAACATCACGATGACTATGAATAATTAGTCTTGCAATAAAAAAAAACACTGCAAAACAGGCTGAGGAAACGGTAGTTTTTGACAAACATAATAACCCCTATTACGTGGTGTTAACTACGCAGTCTATTTACAAAGATTATATTTAATATCATTTTTTTCATAATACGATTACATTTATGTATATACATGTATATGAAAACAGCACGTAAGAAAGGTTCCAACCATAGCGGTACTTTTTAAAAGAATTCGAAAGTCTTTCCTCCCGCAATGCCGTCTAAGGCAAGATAGCGGACGGAATCATTGTTACAACGACGAAGACTACTGAGTGCCGTACAGTCGAACAAGTCGGAAGATGGTAGTATTCAAATTAAACTAGATTATTCCTGAGTAGAACTGTAACCAAAGTCTTTGTGATCATTTTTATATCGTCTGGGAAAAATTCTATCCAGGATTTCTGGAGTTACAGTCTTTATTCAGAGGTCATACCCGACAGCTCTAGCCTCAGGTCATGACAGCCGATCATTCCGTACCGTCGTAAGAATACACTCACGACATGAAAACAGCTTTTAGAAGGATTGAAACGTGGCCGGGGACAGATAGCAGGGATTTCCCGGTCCCTACGTGGTACATGGTATGGGATGTGATTTAGCAAGTTTTGTTTTTGACGTTACATAAATAATTTTTGCTCGTCCGTACTGAAGGATTTTGCCTGTTGCGTTAGCCAGGCTACTAGTATCTCCTTAAATATATGATATTCAAAGCTCAGCTCTATATACAAGTTATGAATGGTTTTTGTATGCGAAATTTTGTCCTGCAAGCTGTGCTGTATTAAGTTAAGTCGGGCATTCTATATGTTCTATACGTTCGAGTCTGTGGGTACGCTCGTATATACCTTGTACAGTTTTCCACAAAGGACGGACGTCCCACCCGACTATAGACTCCACTCAAGGACATTTTCTGTCTAATGTCCTTGCTCCACTGTACATGTACTTTAAAAAGATTTTCTCATTGGAATAAAACTGTTTGTTATAGAATGAATTATACTTCGTTTGTCATTCCTGTTTTATCTTTTATTATCAGCTGTATATGATATCACACTTTACTAAGCGAAAGGTCAGCTTTTTTAAAGTTTAAATGCACGTTTCTTTGATGGTCGTCTTTTTCACAACTATGAAAATATGTACAACGTAAAGGACAAAACTGAGAACACGTACGTAAAATTGGTAAAATGTAAAACTATGACAAACATTACGACCTAACCAATAAGTAACCACTAAAACTGACCAAGACAAAATTCATACCTGTGTAGCCTGATAAATCCGCAGCTTTACAACTAATAATAATAAGGCTCCAAGCTTGCAAACCCGAGTCTAGTGGTACCAGCTTAGTTTAGCTGAAATCACATCGTTGTAAGTATTAATTTTAAGTGACGAGGGCTAACTTGATATACATATGTGCGCAGGTAACTAAATCTTAACTCCTATCAGAATACGTTGGACTTTGATAAGATGAAGGTTGGAGTTTACCAAATCTACAACAGAGTCTGGAAGCAATCTCGCAAGACTCCAATCTTAGCTTTAGGCCCTCAAATATGACGTACAGCAACAACATGACAACACCCGTTGCTCCACCGGAGACAGAACAGGGATCCGAGACCTCCGCCTCTGCTGTGTATGTGGTGTGGGGAGAAGGTGATTTCCACCACCACGCGCCCAAATGAGCCTACAAACGGCAGTCCCAAAGGTTGCTCAATCGTCAACACCCGGTCGTCGTCCCAGTACCCTTGACGAGAATGAGGACCTGAGAACTGTTTCTAAACGACGACGGGGCAAAGTCATTGTAGGTACGTATTCTACCAGTTATAGCCTGCGTTCAGCAAAACATAGAACTGTCTTTGGAGCTCAATTTCTGCCAATTACAGACGAAAATACACCATTTACAAAAGAATCCTGTCAAAAGTGCAACATTTTCTGTTATTGACAGCGTGATCCTGTTAATAGTTATTCCATAGGCCAACTGTCACGTGCTATCATCGTCCTTTCTTCTGTGCTGTCTTTGATGTCATAGTGACTATTCATGTGACCCGTCTTTATTGTCTGCTGTTAGGACTTCCTTGACGACATGAAAATTGAAGGACGACCGATGACGTATGTAACCGGGCCCTAATAGTGACACGATGCCTCTCAACAGGCTACATAAGGCCATCTAACTATTATTTTTTATATGGCTTAAAAAACACATATCCATAATTGATATTGTCAATCAATTAGAAAACCGTACTGCAGACCAAGGACTTTATTTTAATTAAGTTTTTTTTTTTCAAACATTCGCGGTTAAGTACATAGTTACAGACCACGTCAGTGTAAGACCACGCCAATCTATTCTCGTTACACTGTTACGAGCATGAAAAGGCGTTTTCATTTTTCCAGAGTAAGGCCATCTATTGTCACCTGTAGGCAATAATAATAATGATAATGATATAATAAATAGTTCATTGGCCAAACATCACCCGTGTAATCGCAGCCTTATAATGCTGAATTGATGCAGGGTTTACAATGGTACAATGATACAAATGGTAATAATACACATAATAATACACATAATGATACATGGTACACATTTGTTCCACATTTTTGGGGAACTGCCGCAACTGTCTGTGCGGCTGCCATTCGGCGCCACAAGGTGACTTCAATACGGCTTTCCCCAACCGAAGTTAGGTACCAATTCACACCTGGTTGGAGTGAGGAAAGTCATGTAAAGTGCCTTTCCCAAGGACACAATGTCGGGCGCATATCCAGACATGTCCCGGGTACGACTCGGGATCGAACCCGGGTCTCCCGGTTGGAATGATCTACCACTACGCCACCGGACGGCATGAATCCAATTCATGGCCAGAATTGCTGGCCAAAAAAGTTAATTTCGACGTAGAACGGGAAAAGATATGTTCTTATAATAGAAATGTTGTTCCCGTGTTTCGAAAAGGATGTACGTTTCTTTTACAACGGTCAACACGATCAGACCCGTCTGTCTGTTTGTCATTTTCTCATGTCTGTTTATTTGACAGTGCACTAAAATGGTTGAGGGTGTTTTCCTTCCATCTCCAAGCAGATGTTAGACAAAATCGAACCGGTAGAAAATTGTTATTCCAATATTTTCTGTCGTATATCATTTCCGTTAAGACGTACATATTTCAAAATATATTTTCTATTGTTCGTGTGTGTATGACTCAGTGTGTTTGTCCCGCGTTGATAAAATTGCTCTGGTGGTGCTATACAATTTTCACAATAGCATATTACTAGGCGTTATTATATTAATTCCCATGCATTGTTAACTGAAGCCCCAATGGATGAATACAAGATAGCAATCATTAATGGTGAAAATAATTACCCTTTAATATTTGATGCTATGTTGCAACGGCATTCCACCGCTTGTTTGTAACAACATTGCACACTATACCAGTTGTACCATTGTACCCAGGTAGTTCCCTGTATTCCTCGTGACCGTTGCAAGACGAATTTTACTCTAAGATTCTGTTAGAGTGACGTAGCATGCTTGTATGTCTCCCCCCAACCACGAAAAAAATAGACAGAATTCAAGTTGATCATATCGGTGACTTTTATTTGGCTTTTTGTTACGATACCCCCCTCAACTAATACTTCAATGGTTTCACCCTGATTGACAGGATAAGGACTGTCATTTTTCTGCGCACCTCCTGACTGAGTTGAGGTGTTGCTGACGTGGTTTCGCTTCTACCGAAAATATACTGTTAGGAACAGTAGGTTCGTGTTGACTCGGAACTGCATTTCCACTCATTCTTTTCTAACTGTCGGGACAGCCATAATCAAACTATAAGGGCAGGCAAAGTGGTACAGTAGCGTTCGGGGAGTATTCTATGTGCCCCTTTTCTTAGTTTTATTTGGCCTGTTTGGAAGCAAGCGAGAGAAAAACATGACAGGATTTCAACTGTGTTGTGCCGTCGCAATCT